TATATACACAGTATACTGCCATCACTACAATATACATGTTTTGCATACGTCTTTATTTTGCATACAGTTTTATTCACAGGCTTTCTGCAAAATGCCACACACTTCAAATTCATGCCAACTGATATTGTTGCATCCAGTAGATGTCCTCCTAGAGCAAATGAAGCTTCAAGAAGCTTTGCGCTGGAGTGAACCAATTGGATGAAAGGGTTCAATGCCTCATGAAGCTTCATCTGCCCATCACTACATATCATAACTTACGGCATTGCTTCTATCACGTTTCCTAGCAGATGAAGATGAATACACATGCCGCAAACAAGAGCCTTACGTACGCCATCTTTCTTACTAACGTGAAATCGCTAAAACAGGAAGTGACGTCATCACCATGCGCCAATTGGTAAATAGATTTAGCGTTATCATATCTTTTACATATGTAATTATTAACCTGGCCCTTCACCAAAATAGATAACAACTTCAACAAATAATTAGCTAAATAAATGACTTAGAGGCAACACACTCTTAGTGTTGGGGCTCCATATTCTGAAGCTTTGAGTCATATTTAGATGCTTACACACTGTAGGTGCTTCTTTATAAAGATCAGCCTTTGTCTGCCACTGTTTTTTTCCCTCCTAGTTTACAACGGCACAGGGCCAACATTAGCCACTATTAAACAGCCATGACTCCTGATCCACAGGCCAGTGGTTATTTCCAGCATTCAGGCCACACAGCTGTGAGGGTGAAAGGGGGACAGTCTGTCTCTATTGGTGGAAAGAGAGTTAAACTCAACTTAGCAACAGCTCAGCTACAATCAGTGAGAAGAACACAGACAACAGCCAGCAACAGGGGGCTGCTTCTTATTGTACTGGATTGACATACTCATTAAAACACAACAGTCCATTGAGTATTGTTTTATATAATGATCTGCTGATTTTATTTTAAAGTATTTTTCCCTGAAGTCTTTCATTATATGTGCAAATAAAATAAAATAAAATCAGTAAAAACTACTCAGTCAGTAAAAAAACTGACCCATTGCACTCAATAGATGACACTGTTAGTCCATCCAGTAAAATGGAGTGTGAAAAATATAATTTTCCCTACTACTTTGCTGATTTATCATTGTATTCTTTTAACACATACTCACATGCATGGTTACTCAAAATAATAAAAAAACAACAACAAAAAACTAAGTTGATATTGAACCCTGGGGCATACATTACCCATACTGCACCTCAACAACTGAGCGTGTTGTTGATTTGTGAGCTTTCTTTGATTTGTGAAGTCATTAGAGTTCCCCTTTAACATTTTGAGTTATTTGTTAATCATTTTCTTCTTTTTATTACTGTGGGGGCTCCATAGAGAGACCCTGGGGTTTTGTTCCATCCTAGTTTATTTATCATACATATTATTTTATACTATTATTAAATTAAAGAATTAGGTTTTTATATTTTTTCTTAAAAAAACAATTCATATCTATGCTCATTTGCTAAACTTGCTGTTAAAACGTGAATAATACTAACATTAATTTATACATTTAATCAAACAATGTGCTTTATGTGAAAGGTGTAAATCACTAATAAAAAATATATGGAAAAAAGATTAATATTAAAAACGTTTCCATCAGAGTCAGAAACATATTTATCACTTTCTGGTTTTCCACCCTCATGTGCTGCTGTAGCCTTTCTATGTCTGCTCTGTACAAGTTTTATTATGGTGCCGTCTAATGGTTAAATACCAGAAGTGCAACATGAGCAAGCAAATGGGCAAATCTGTTGGCCATTATGTGTAAGTTACTGGTCGTCACCCCAGATCAGAAGAGTATTGGTTTGAACTTTAGGCTTTCCAAAATAATCATATATTTCATAACAGTTTTTGTAGTGCTGCTGCTCTGTGTAAATGAACCACCCTTACAAAAGAGACGGTGTAAAGGAATGAGCAACAGCGCCCCCTAGGATGCACAGAGCGCTGACCATGGTGCTGACAGCACCCTGCTTTCATCATTCTGACAGGTCACTTGTGGAGTTCCATCTCATATGGAGTATTAAATGCGAATAGGAAGTCTTATTGACCTCCTATTCTGTGTAGGTTTCCTAAGTAGGAATTTTGCCATGAATAGTTCTCTTTCCTGCACTCTGGTTTTATTATTGGCTGTGGTCTTATAAAGAGCAGTGCTGAAATGACTGCAGCTCTCTAGCTGCAGTGAATAGGCCTGACACTTTTGTGAAAGCATCTTGCTTCTTCTCATTAGTAACTGTTTTAGTCAGTAGATAGATATGAAATGATACATTTTACTAATTTATTCAGAGGGAAACCTTTGTGCACTTATGGATAAAGGAAAGTAAGAGGAGATCAAATAAATCTTGCATTATAAACATGTCCTATACCTGGAAATGGGTAATAAGGTGTCATGAAGAAATAGTTAAGGTTACATATTATATTCTGATGCCTACATTATGATATATTTTAGGCATCATCTGAGTCTTCAGACAGCAGAGGGGATAGAGGATGAGAGGGGACCAGTGCCAATTTTGTAACTGAGATTACTTTAGAAGCACAGAAAAATCTGGAAAAGAAACAGGAGAGTGCACAAAGCCCCTTTCAAAGCCCTTTTCTTCTGGTATTTTAATCATAATCATAATCATAAACATCATCTGCTTTTTATTCAGCTGAAAAATTGTGTCAGAGACCCTGGCAATCTCCCCTGCTCTTGCATCATTTGCTCTCAGTATAAAGTCCCGGCATTTGTGCGCATGTTCCACTGGCTTTTTTGTGTGGTCGCTCATTCTCCATTGGCTCTCACATTGCTCTGCTCTCAGCTTTCACGCGGAACCAGCTTTCACGCAGCAGAGAGCGTGCGCCAACCCGCGAATCCTGTAACCGGTCTGTTGTAAAGACAAAAAATGGAGAAAAAGAGCGAGATCAATGGTCACGCTATGCCCAGCTCGGCCTCCACCGAGCAGATCCTGGAGAAAAGCGCGAAGAAGAGTCCCTGGGAGAAACTGGCGGACTTTTTAAGAAAGAACCTGCTGGTGATCATGACGGTGTCCGGAGTGCTGGTGGGCGTCGGACTCGGCATGATGGTCCGCACCATGAACCTGACTAAAGCGCAGATGACTTATTTCGCCTTCCCCGGAGAGATGCTCCTCCGGATGCTGAAGATGATCATCCTACCCCTAGTCGTCTGCAGTCTCGTATCCGGCGCCGCCAGCCTGGACACACGCTCCTTGGGCAAGCTGGGGGGCATCGCAGTCGCCTACTTTCTGGTGACCACACTAATAGCCTCGGGGATCGGGGTGGCCCTGGCTTTCATCATTAAACCCGGTGTGGGCGCGGGAGCTCTGAACACCAACAACCTGGGACTGGAGAGCGTTAGCAGCAACAAGGAGACCACTGACTCCTTTTTGGATCTGGCCAGGTACAGTAGCAGCACTGCAGACGTTTTTCAAGATTCTGAGAAACTTAACACTGATATGCAGGCCACTGTTATAATCTATATGGAAAGAATCAGAGTGATGTGTTGGTGTAGTTCTGCAGAATGAATGGCTCCATATGCATCTGAAGCGCGCACACACGCTCTTAAGGACACTAATAGCATGTAGTGGTACATTCTGGTATATTACTGTTAAAATCACTCACATTCCCATTTGACCCTTATGGAATAATATATCACGAAGATTGTTGATTGTATATATAGTATATTCGATGGCTGTGCCTCTGTTGGTCAAGGGCGAGTAGCCTGCTGTTGGTCAGTTAATATTCAGGTTATAATGAGCTAAATGAACCGTCCTACCTGGACCCGTGGAGCAGGCTAAAGTGCTCCTGTTTTACTTGAGTATTTCAGAGGTGCTTTTTACTCTGCTGCATGTATTTGACAATAGCTGCTTTCCTGATTAAGAGTCTACATAGGTTCTAAAATATATAACAACCCAATAAAACATGACCCAGTACTATTAAATTCTACAAAAAATAAGAGTTCAAAATAACTCAGACTAAATCAACAGCAACAAATAATGCTGCACACACTTTAATGCATCACTCATATTAATCAGATGTACTTTTTCCCAAATGAGAACTTTTACTTTAAAGCTTTAAATACATTTTACTAATAACATTTTAGAACTTTCAAGTAAGAGTGAATTTAGTGCAGCGCTAACCTGAGCATGTGAGGCTTTAATTACTGAATCTGAACAGACAAAAGCCGTCTTCTATCTTGATGTAATGCATGTGGATTAAGTTGGTGACTGTGTCAACCGAGAGTTTCCATACCAGTGATGGTCTTTATACTGTTTCAGATGCATTTTAGAAAAATAACACAGATGTTTTTTTGGGGGGGATTTTTTTGAATGTGAAAATGTTTTGTGTGGAAAAACTAGCGGTTTTTCCAGCCTATAAATATCAACATGCACACTGGCTTTTAGCAATTTAGACAGGAGGTGTCCCAATAATAAGTTCCTTCGGTGTGAGGAAAAGCCAACAGCTGTTGAAAAAATGGATGGAAAGAGGTGGAGGGATAAACTCAGCAGTGCTGTGTAGTTCAAACAGGACACAGCCTGATGCTGTCGGCACTTCTCCCTTATCATAGTAGAGGCTGGGCAGTCTGCATTTATTTCTCACTCATACACTGTAGAGTCAGACTTTATGTTTGTACTGGTGACCAGCTTCTCAAAACATCTCAGGAAGACAGGAAGATTAGACGAGTATAGGATTTTACTGATGGGAATCTTTTTTATTGTCTTATGTTGATGCAGTTAGACTAAACCTGACAGTTAGGGGTGTCTTTAAAAAGTATAGTTTTCATTTTAAAATGCTCAGTGCTTCCCCAGAAACTGATACCAGTCAGGGCATAAAAGTGCTTCACTTTAGCAGAACATCAGATTTTATAGATTCAATGTTGAAATCAAAACACTTGTAATTAGATATTCCTTTGCTCTGTGAAGGTAAAACTGGAACGAGTATGCTTTCTCTGTCCATGAACTCTCAAACTCTCACTGAGCTCGAGCATGTCAAGTTTAAGGGTTCAAATAACACATACACTTGTTTTGAAACCTGTTCCTTTTATATACTCAAAGGTGTGATTATAACCCCCCCCAAGCCAACCATCTGCCCCCCTCTATAATGCATGGGTTATCACTAGCAGAGTGTTTCGCATTCCTCAGCTGGAGGGGGCAGATCAGATGTCTCTTTGCTTCCCTGAAATCTTAGATTCAAACATGGACAGGCAAACAATATTTAGGATACCATAAACCTGAAAGCCAATGGTGTAAAGATTTGCAGATTTCAGGAGTGCAGAGTGAAACCTTTGGTGTCAGAGCAGCCAGACAGGCATGTGAGCGAATGTTTGACAGCAAATATTCTGGACAGGAACTGGGACACAAAACAATGCTGTCACTAAAATCAAGAAAAGTAAGAATATTGACTGCACCAGAGTGAACACTGTATTTACCAGGAAGGACACCCAATGCAAAAGATAGCAGATTTTCATCTACGTCAGAAGAGGCTGCTGGATGGTCACACTTTGGTCACACCAGATTAGTTTATTTGACACAAGCTAAACTTTGTTCTTTTAAAATTCCACAGCCAGCTTAATTTTTGTATGGTTTTGTACAGCTGACAGCATTGTTTTATTTATTAACACAGAATGCAAAAGTATACACAAATGCAAGGTTCAAATCCTAGTATATGGTACACTTTTTAATAGTGAATCAGTACACAGTAACTTATTACACAAACTCATTTTGGATTTTAATAAATATTTCCCCTGTTGTGCATTGAAATGATATCTTCTGATGCATAGCTAGGGCACATATGAAGGCTTTTTGAAAAAAAATTGAACAAAGTGAAAATTTGTTTTATTTCAAAGTTGAACAAGGTGTCATGGTCCCCACACATGTCCTGTTTTAGACAGTTTCGTAGTTATTCCGTGTAGATCACTGTCTCTGTCCAACTGTCCTTGCCAATTTGTTTGTTGACTTCTCCTGTTCAGCTCACCATTTTGCCACTGTACAGGATAACAGAAGCTACTGATTAGTGTCCTGTGTTTCATTAGACGCTGGCTGTTTTTGCTCTTGTTACTTTAATTTTCTACTCAGTCACCTCAGTTATGTTTAAATATTTACCTGTGCCAGTCTCTTCCTTTGTAAACTTACCATTCCATCCAGTATTACTCCAGTCATTTCCAGGCATGTCATTGTTAGCCATTTTTCACTATTGATAGCCTCACCTGTGTTTAGGGTAGTTACTCTTACTTTCCCAGCACTGTTATAGTTCTGTCACTCTGAATACTTGTACCTCTGTTGCCATTATTATGTCTGTGAGTTTCTCTCTGTCCTTGGTTTCCATTTGGGTTCTCCTATCTCCCACCATAACACAAGGATGTTTTTCTGAAGATCACCTGAAAGGTTGATATTTTAAGAATATAATAAACTTTGAGAATTCCAATTTTGCCACACATGGCTTTCTCCTGCTACAAGCATTAAAACATGCTTGTAATTTTGAACAGAAGTGAATCAGCCATAATTTGGAAATGTGCTGACAGAAAAGCTGTGAAATGTGGTGCTGGAAAGCAGTCACAACTGTTTGACTAAGAACTTAAAAGGAACATGATGTTTTGTAACAGAACAGAAAAATCAGGCCACAAACAAGAAGCACTGTGGGAAAAGTTCAGCCAGTTCAGATGTGGTTTCCCAGGGTTAATCCAAGATCCTCACCTCGGTCATGTGACAGGAGAAAATCTGGTTCCCTTCATGGAGTGAAGAAGTCTAAAAAGGCTTTAAGTATTTAACAAAATTACATTTCTTAGCAGCATTAGAAAAGGAAAGAAATGACTAAGTGAAGCTAATGTGGTTACCTGCCAGTGTGGCCAGCAGAGCTAATATATTGAACAGCTGAGGCAGCATTGACTCTAGACTGAAAGCAGAGGGGTCAGTGGCTTGTGAACTGAGGTCTTGTCTGTGCTCTGGCCATGAGAATAAATGTGAGCAAAGTCTGTGTATCTTTGCACATTACAGTGTGACCCCAAAGGATGAAGATAGAACAAACACACACTAATGCATGTACTAGACCTGCAGGCATCCAGTAATCCCTGTGTGCTTTCCTTACAGTAGTGAAAATAAACTGACTGTCAAGAAAATGTTTTTCCACTGGATTTATAGTAGTGACAAAAAGAACAATAAATGAAGCCAGGCTGGCCAGTTAAGATGAATAATTAAGTTCTTTCAAATCTAAATATAAGAGACTCTTCTTGTAAAAACAATCAAACAAAAAAACAAATAAAAAAACCCTCTACTGTATATGTCGTTTGTGCCCACAGGTTATTATGACCAACATTGGCATGACCTCTAGTGACTGTAGTGTTACACAAGCAAATAGTAAGTTAGGTGATGTAGTATACAGTAAACAGGCAGGAAGTCCATGTTAATAGGTGTAGGCTGAGTTGAATCTATATAACCTTCTTCCAGGTGAATGGGGTTCAGTTCCACTGTGTGATGTGTGTTTTTCCAGTTGTTTTTTTCCCCTAACCCTAACCAAGTAGTTTGTGTAACAAAATGTAAAGAAACCATGATCTTCCATGATCCTAATGTTTGACAGTTTCCATGATGATGTAGTTCTGACGCTTGCTGCAGTGTTTATCACTGTTTCCGTGACGACAGGGGTTTGTAAAGCTTGCCAGTACAACATACAGTATGTTGTTGTTAATGTTGGTGGAGTTCTTGCAGTTCCACCTTCCAACACAGGAGTGCTATTTCAGGAGATGTGCTTATGGGTCACATGATAGCAAGGGACAAACAACCGGTACAGGATTCATCCTAAGTCTTTTATAAGCACCATTGTTTCCCTCACTTTCTTTTTTCTTGTGTCTTAGTCCCTCTTACGTAAACGTGAAGAGAGAGGACTCGAGAAAACATGTTATTAATGACATGAGATGTCCTTTCCTCAGATCCTTCATCTGAAGCATCCAATCACCAACTGATTTCTGATAAGGGGGTGTTTCAGTTCACAAAAAAAGTTTGTGCCACCAATCTTGTTGATGTTGCTCTTATTTTTCTTTTTTTTAGAATGTTAGCATTGTCATTGCATGCACTTTACAGTAAGATTTACAGAAAGGCAATAAATTAAAGGAAAAACCAGCATAAAATGTCTTAGTAATGTGTCAGGCCATCACATGCCACCAGAACAGCTTCAGTGTACCTTAAAGAACTCCAGCTGGATATGTTCATGTCATTGAATCCACCCTCTTCCCCTAATAATCTTAAACCATTGTGTTATAGCAAATTGTCAAAGTAATTCCCAGGTAGCCAGTAGTAGTATATATGATTCAACTGAGGTAAACCAATTGACTGGAGCTATCTATTTCATATGCTGCAAACTGACATGAGTAAAAGGATTCCAGTCATTCTGTAGTGAGAGGAAATTGTTTGTGTTTACGTGTTTGTTCATGTCTTTACTGCTCTAACCAGAGCTTTGTGGAAATGCAACTTTTTATATTTGCTATATATTCTAAAGAACAAATGATACCTGTGATGAACATGCCATAGCCCCTGCAGATTTGTTGTCACTCATCTGTGCTGTCAGTGTGCAAGCACTTTTTTTATGCCTCCACACCAGCTTTATCTGTGACTGAATGCATTATGTTTTTGGGTTGTCCATCCATCCATACAGTTTCTTGTATGTCAGGAACACCTTGAGGGAATGCCTCCAAATTTGGCACAAATGTCCACTTAGACTCATGGATGAACTGATTAGATTTTGGTGTTTAAAGGTCAAGCTCAGTGACTTCGTTCTGGCCCATACCTGTGAATTTGAGTGGTTGGTGGAGGGATACAACCACAAAGCGGTAAATCTAGTTGATTCTAGTTCTGTTTGTTGAACTCCAATGTAGGTCTGTAGGCCTCATGTTAACATATACTGTAGATTACATATCACTGGTCACAGACTCAGTGTTACGGTTTCACACCTCATTTTCTCCCGGTCCTGTCCCCTGCTGTTCTGCCCCTACAATCAGTTCCCATGCCATTCACCTGCTGCTCGTTGTCTCCCGGTGCCGTCACATATATATACACCCTGTCTTCCACCGCGTCTTTGCGGGTTCATACACTAAGACGCCTACCCCTAGTACTGATAGCTCTCTTATCATGAGGTGTGTGTGTGTGTGTGTGTGTGTGTGTCCTGAGCTTACCTTTAGCAACTCCTGGGTGTTCTGGTCCTGCTCTCCCATTCCTGTTTCTGCCTCTGCAGCACTACCGCCTTGATTTCTCCATTCAGTCTGTCTGCAAGCTTGGCTGTTTTGTTTTCGAGTACGAAGTCCTCAGCTCCACACCTTTCTGTCTCGCCTGTCCGTTTGCTACCGCTACGCAGTGCACCTGTCTGTACATCGCTCTGTTTACCTGACTGTTGCTTCACTCCGTTCTTCTATCTGCTATTGTTATCTTGCTGCTGCTGCTTGCTCCTGACAGACTTTGTCTGTCACTACTTTACTCGGTTTGCCTGTCTGCTCTCCTGTCATCTTGGTTCCTGTGTCTCTCCTGGTGCCGGCTCTCCTGCTCGTCCTCTGGTTCCTGTGTCCCCCCTGCTGCCGGCTCTCCTGCTCGTCCTCTTGTTCCTGTGTCCCCCCTGCTGCTGGCTCTCTTCCTTTGTCCCTCCTGGTCTCCTCGTCCCTCCTAGTTCCTCATCCTCGGTTGTCCCCTGCACTCCCTGCCTGCCCGGGGCCTGCTCGTCTTCCTGCCACCCAGTATAACCTGGTTTTTGGTTAAATAAACTACTTTCATTAGCTCCCACTCCTCCTGGTCTTTGTCTGCAACTGGGGTCCACACCACTCACACGTAACACTCAGGGTGCAGTGAGACATACTGTGATGCAGTTGTAAAGATAAACCTAAATAAAATGACTAAAATTAAGTTGAAGATTAAAATTTGCCCAACAGCTGTCTATATGCAATAAAGGGGTCCAGATGAATGTTTTGTCTATGTAGCCTCCCTTGTTTATACAGACCTTTGGTTAAACAATGTGTGAAACAACAATGTGAAAGGAAACCTTGACCATGATTCAGTCCCCTGTCAACAAATGTTTTTATGACTTAACAATATAATAGCATGCTCTATCTATTCATAAGTCAGGACGTGCTAATACAGTATTAAACATTTCTGGTAAATAGAGACATTGACACCAAATGTGCCCATATTCTTCACCTCCATAAGTCAAAATTGCAATGAATTTAATTAGGGTACTGTATCATGATTGATTTTCATGAATATCTCTTAAAGAAACATGTCGGCTTAACAAGTCAAATCAAGGAATAATGTGTAATAAACAAAAGTGTAATTGTATAAGTGTAAGTGTATAATGAATCAGCCAGGAATATCTCATCCTGGTGCAGACTTTGCTTATTTGTTTGAATAAAAATGTCTCCCAGGATTAGATTGGTGCCAGAACAACTGCTCTGCCAGGAAATTTATGGAGATGTGGAATTTATGGAAGATCCTTTGATGTGTGACGAGAAACCAATCCTGTGAACAATTTACCGTTCACATGGGTTAACCACATGTTCCAAATGACTTGTCAAATTCTGGGGCCAGTGTTAAGCAGTTTTTATTTTTTATTTTTTGTAGGTTTTAAATATTATCAAACTCTTTGGTCAATTACAGAAGAAAGAAAAACTGCAGTTAAATAGCTGTGATTTTCATTAACTTGCTTTTCCTCTTCCTTTCTCAGGAATTTATTCCCAGCAAACTTGGTGGCTGCTGCTTTCCGTTCTGTGAGTGCCAGCACCTCACTTCTCCACACCACACTGTTCTTACTTATTTTTTATCAATACTTTTTTCAACACTTTTTCTTACCTGTGCCTTGTGTGGTTTGTTCATCAAAGTTTATTTTACCAACAAAGTGGATTGCATTTTAATTACAGTGGCTGTAAATTCTGGCTGTAGCTCATAATGCCTCTTAATGGGGAAATGTTCAGAATAGAGGCCAGCTCCTCTCCTCTGCTCAAGCACCTGTTTTCCTTGTGCCTTACCAGCCGTTACCATGGCAAGGCCATTCCTTTACAGCCAGCCTAGCAACCTGATTTGCCTCACTGCTCTTGAACGTTCCTCTTCCTGGAATTATTCACATCTGTTAAGGCTAAAATAAGAAACTGGAATGTTCAATATCTGGGAGAATACAAAATCACTATTCACATGCACAAATGATACACACACACACCTGGACAGATAATTAAACCAATTGCCTTAAACTCGCCTAAAACCACATCAGTGAAAAATAAACTCACAAACAAGCTAGTAACTTCTCACAGGGAGAGTGAAAGGACTTTGAAAGTGTAGCCAGGTCACAGAATCCAGTATTCACACTGCCACCCAGCCTATACTGTGGTAGAGATCCCCACTGGAATGGATCCAAGTGTGGATTAAACCAAAAAAAGCAAAATGCAAAATGACAGTCTTTTAATTTATGGGGCTGTTTAAAGCAGAAGAGAGACAGCATTGTTGCAGAGTTGTATCTTATAAAACAGAAAGATTACCGAAATTTGGACAATATTGGACAGCACTAAACTACTTAAATGTTTGAAATTGGAAGCAGTTTGTCATTTTGAGGACAACATTTATTCGCTTCTTTCAGAGAGTTAGATGAGAAGAACAATACTACTTTTGTGACAATGGGTCAAGTACAGAGGTAGAGCTTGGAGGTGATAGCTTATCTTAGCAGAAAGATTTGGGGCAAGCAGTTGATTAGGTTAAAAACTGAAGGTTTTTAGGAATATAATGTACTCTCAGTGGGGTTCGGATTTGAATAAAAATTATCCAAACCTGACTATAGACTTGGCAGGCTAGCTACACCAAGCACTGTTTGAGATACTGAGCCAGATGTCATGTCATACCACTGATATATGACTGCACAAAGGTACAAGACCAGGGCACAGTCAGACATATCCTGCACTGACTTGCTCCTGGACAGTGCAGTCGATCAGGCAATGCCTCAGGTGGAATGTGTCCTGAGGTTCATTGGGGACTATGCAGCCCATCACTTCGTACTTTCCACAGATGGTATTGCAGATCCAGTGGACTATAATTGCTGAGCCAACGGGGGGGGGTCCCCCTGGTCCTGCACGCTGTAATCTGGACAACCAGTCACAGTGAATTACTGCAAAATGGTGATCAAAAGCAGTTCTAAAAGTGGCTGCAACCACGCTCCCCCTACAGTGGCCTAACCCAACATCCCACCCAGCCAGTCAAAGATGCATCTGTGAAAACCTGAACACGATGGGAATACAACCTAAATGGACCCCCTCAGGGAGGCAGTTGACTGATCCCCACAAAACGACATTGTCCTGGGAGAGAACTGGGATTTAGAGTCTACTCTATTTGTCACAGTTCAGGTGCAACTGGAGCTGTACAAATCACTGCTAGAGGTCCTACATGTGCATCAGCCCCAAGTGCACCACTGACATTAGCCCAGGTGGGGGCATTTTCCTCCCTGCCAATACCAACAACAACATTGGATGTTCATGGAAAATGAGTCTAGGTATAAACCCTGTTTACTTTAGCGTGCTCATCCCCAGATTGATGGCAAAGTCCAACTGTGTAATATGAGCCATGGCTTACTGCTGCGGAGAGGCACCCCTGTCTCCCTGAGTGGGTTCAGTGAGTGCAGAGATCAGACTCGAGGGGGTAAAACAACAGTGAAGTCTTTTGGGGGCTGTGGCAGGTATAACTATGAACGTTAAGTAACCTGGCTATTTCTCTCCTTGCATCCGTATTTGTAATAGTGTCTTGGTTTCTGATCAAGGTTCTGTCACATGGACACTGTGTCCAGCCGTGTTTATCACTACACCAGATAGACTTCTCCATCTGGTTACCAGTAAATCAGCAGTAACAGGTGCTAAAATGTATTTTTTTATATTTTTATTCCAGTGCCCAGCTCATTGTGTTATTTACCATTGCACCATATCTTCTGTATAACTGACTCACTATTACAAATGGGCTGAGGATGTACTTCGGCAGACAGCAAATAATGACAAAAAAATGGATAAAGTGTTTATACTGTATTTCACCATATGCTAGACTTGAAATTAAACATTATTGGGCCATGTTTCAAAAATGGGGATGTATAAAGACACAGCAAAGGAATTTGCATTATTTGCATGCTGACACTGTAGCTACACATTTAAGCACTAGAATGTACTAAACAAAAACAAAATTACCTATGCCAGGTATTTCTTTTTTGTATCTTTCAGTATGCCACTGACTACAAAATGGTTGCTGTGGGGAACAATACCAATGGAACCACACTCTATCAAAAGGTACGAACATGAAACATCCCATGTGTACAGTCACACACATAACTCCCAACCGCATGCTCACAAGTGTAAAATGCTCAACATTGCACCTTTAAAAGAAAAATTGCTCCTATTGACATTTTTGGAAGTGTGACCTTGGTCATGTCAACTAATAGGTTTAGTTTATCTTGCTCTACAGTCATTATAAATAAGCCTGTGCTTGTGTTCTTGAATCATGTTTAAATGTTAACAGTTTGTAATTTAAAGGCACCAAACAGCTTCTATGAGTAGCTGTCTGGGTTTCAGAGCTCATTAACACTAAAAATAAGATCAGTGATTACTTAGTGTTAACATTCTATGTGTTATTTTAAAGAATTCTTATCATTTCATTAGAGTACAATTTGATTTTAAATCATTTAAGGTGAAGGGACAACACTGAAAAGCAAAGGGAGAGAGAATATCTTCATTATGATAAGAGAAAAAAAGCTTGTCTCTACTCAAGTCTAAAAAGATTAGATAAAAGACAAGTGCAAACATGCAAAGAGCAAATACCAGCAGATGAGACCTTCTGTAGCCTGCAGAGTTCATTATACACAGTGTTGTACACAGTGTACATTCAGTGTAAGTTCAATTATTGGCTTATTCAGTGTGATTATTTTAGTATAGTACTCATGTTATTTGTTGAAGCATTTTTTGTGTTCTGGAATAATTCGTCCTTTGCATGCTTGACAATCAAGAGATCATAGTTTGACTACACTGTAAGAAATGGGGGACAAAATCTACTGTCCTTGTTGTGAAAATGCATTTTAAACTTCAGCAAATGCTAATTTGAGTCTGAGCAGTCGGAGCTGGCCAAACTAAATGGGTGTCTTCAGCCAGGCAGGTTTATTGGTTTATTGCCAGTGGTGTGTCCCAGTAGCAAATCATATGCAACCACCAGGTTGTATCCTTCTTTAGCAATGAAACACTATCTGGGGAAGCACAAAGCTGACAATAACTGTAACTTTGGAAAGTATTCACTTGGACTGTCATTGCCCCAGCAGCACAATGCTAATGGATACACATTTTTAAAGGTTCTCAGCGGTACTACACTCAGTTTGTTCAGCACAGGCACACAGGTAATAAAGATCCTTTTAAAAATACAGTATATAAAATGCTCCATAACAGAAATGTTTTGTAACTTTTATGACTTGCCTGTTTTAGGTCAGAGATTTCTATATAAGAATGTCTAATTTACTTAATTTTGAACAAATAGTAGTAATCTTCAAAACCCTGCAACTTCTCCCCAGTGGTCATGGCTCCCTCCATTGACACCAGTGGGGGAGTAATTGCAGGATGTGACCTTGGCATCAGGCCATGGTATTTGCTTGCAATGGGTCATACTGTATAGTCTGTTCATGCCAGTGGATAAAGCTGGCAGAGCTGAGGAAAAGATCAGGATTTGTCCTTGTTCTTATTCATTATCCATCATCCAGTTCACTGAATCCTTCAACTGACCCCAGCCCTATGTACATGCACACTCTGTAGCAAAAGGGATCCTGTAAACTCCTGTGGATAGTATCAGCACAATTATTTCATAAGCTTACATCTCCATAGTGAAAGGCCTCATATGATATCCCAGTCTAAGCTTACCAGATGTGACCATCATCAAACAAGTATTGTTGAGTAAAAATGTCTTATACGCTGAGAAAACCAGCGTAAATTAATCCAACTTTTTAAAAGGCATTTACAGTACAAGTCCAATGATGGTATGAATGAGTAAAATCCTTCTCAATCTCCCTTATCCTTATCCTTAAAAACAACCTTCTAAGTATCCGAGCTTGTGGCTAAGTAGTCGGTTCTGAAAGACTGTTTATCCCAGTGCAGATATTATTGGGACATTATTTTTATGGACAGAATTTCTAGGTGTAGCCAGGGGCCGGAGGGAGTCCGGTTTGGCGACCACAGGATCTCGTCTCTGCTTTTTTGCAGATGACGTCCTGTTGACTCCATCAAACCAGGACCTCCAGCGTGCACTGGGGCGGTTTGCAGCCGAGTGTGAAGCGGCTGGGGTGAGAATCAGGACCCCG